TTTCTGATTCAATTTCATTATGGATAATTTATCTGTTCATATTTTCTGTTTATTCCTGGTTTAGTCTTGGGACATTGTATATCTCTAGAAATTTGTCCATTTTTTCTAGGTTGTTCATTTTATTAGCATTCAGTTATTTGTAGTGCTCCCTATGATCCTTTGTATGTCTGGTGTCTGTTGCAACTTCTCCTTTTTCATTTCTGATTCTATTGCTGTGGGTCTTGTCTCTCTTTTTCTTGGCTACTTTGGGTAAAAGTTTATCAGGGCTTCCCAGGTGGCACAGTGGTAAAGACTCCACTTGCCAATGCAAGAGACATAGGAGATTGAGTTGGATCCCTGGGTTGGGAAGATCCTCAGCAGTAGAAAAATGGCAACCCACTGCAGTATTCTTGCCTGGAAAACTCCATGAACAAAGGAGCCTGGTGGGCTACAGTCCATAGGGCTGCAAAGAGTTCGACACAACTGAGCACATACGCACACACACAAAGGTTTATCAATGTTATCCCTTTCAAAGAACCAGGTCTTCATTTCACTGATTTTTTTTTGTCTCTATTTCATTTATTTCTGCTCTAATCTTTACAATTCCTTTCCTTCTATTGACTATGGGTTTTGTTTGTTGTTCCTTCAGGTGTAAAGTCAGGCTGGGATTTTCCTTATTTCCTGAGGTAAGCCTGTATTGCTGTCAACTTCCCTCTTAGAGTTGCTTTTGCTCCATCCCATAGATTTTTGGATAGTTGTGCTTTCATTTGTCTCTAGGTATTATTTCCTCTTCGATTTATTCTGTGATGTTGATTGTTTAGTAGTGTTTTGTTTACCCTCCATATTTGTGTGTGCCTCCACATTTTCTTTTTGGCAAGTTTTTTTTCCCTTGAACTTGATTTCTAGTGTCATAGCATTGTAGTCAGAAAAGATGCTTGATATGATTTCAGTTTCCTTAGGTTTACCAAGGATTGTTTTCTGGTCCAGCACGTGATCTATCCTCAAGAATGTTCCATTTACACTTGAAAAGAATGGGTATTCTCCTGTTTCTGTATTGGATAGTCTGTACATATATCTACTAAGTTCATTTTGCCTAACATATCAACCAATGTTTCTTAACTGATTCTCTGGATGTTCTATCCATTGATGTAAGTGTGGTAAGGTCTCCTGTTATTATTCTGTTACTATCAATTTCTCCCTTTGTGTCCATTTATATTTGCTTTATGTATTTAGGAGCTCCTATATTGGGTGCATTGTTTTATCTTTTTCTTGAATTGATTCCTTGATCATTATGTAATGTCCTTCTTTATTTCTTGTCAGAGTCTTTATTTTAGAGTCTATTTTGCCTGACATGACTATTGCGACCTTGGCTTCCTTTTGCTTTTCATTTGCAGGAATATCTTTTTCCATGCCCTCACTTTCAGTCGGTGTGTGTCGTTAGGTCTGAAGTCAGTCTCTCGTAGGCAGCATATATATGGGTCTTTTTTTTTTCTTTTAATCCATTCAGCTACTCTGCCTTTTGATTGGATTCACTTACATTTAATCACTGACACACATGTTCTTATTGCCATTTTGGGAACTGTCTTGGATTGCTTTTATGGTTCTTTCTTGTTCCTTTCTTTTGTCCTCTTATGATTTGATGACTAGTGCTATGTTCTGAATTCCTTTTTCTTGTGTCTCTATTATAGATACTTTGTAAAATATGTATTTTTGGCTGTCCTAGGCCTTTGTTGCTGCTCGGGCTTTTCTCGAGCTGCAGTGAGCAGGGGCTGCTCTCTAGTTAGGGCGTGCAGGCTTCCCATTGCAGTGCCTTCTCGCGTTGCAGCACACTGGCTCTAGGGCATGCAGGCTTCAGTAGGTGCAGCATGTGGGCTCTAGAGCACAGGCTCAATAGTTGTGGCACACCAGCTTAGTTGATCCATGGCATGTGGGATCTTCCCAGATCAGGGATCGAACCTGTGTCTCCTGCATTGGCAGGTGGATTCGTTACCACTGAGCCACCAGGGAAGCCCTATTATAGATTTTGTATGTAATTACCATGAGGGTTTTATATAAATATATAATATATATTACATATATATGTATGTATGTATGTATATACACACACATGTACATATATATGATTGTTATAAGGTGAAAGTGTTAGTCACTCAGATGTGTCTGACTCTTTGCAACCCCAGGGACTGTAGTTCACCAGGCTTCTCTGTCCATGGAATTCTCCAGGCAAGAATACTGGAGTGGGTAGCCATTCCCTTCTCTAGGGGATCAGATTCTTTATAATCTGAGCCACCAGGAAAGCCCTGTTTTAAGTTGCTGATCTCTTAATTTTCAGTGCCTTTTAACAACTCTGTATTTGTACTCTCCTCTCTTCACATTTATTGTTTTTGATATGTTTTACATCTAATTTTTTTGTGTATCCCTTTATAGCTTATTGTGGATGTAGATGATTTTACTACTTTTGTGTTTTAACCTTGTTCCTACTAGCTTTCTGTGAGAATGAGTTCCTACTTCTACTGTTTGCCTTTACTGGTGAGATTTTTCCTTTCATAGTTTTTGTGTTTCTTGTTGTGGTCTTTTCTTTATTGCTTAGAGAAGTTCCTTTAACATTTCTTGTAAAGGTGGTTTGGTGATATGAACTCTTTTTGCTTTTGTTTTCCTGTAAGGCTTTTATCTCTCCATCAAATCTAAATGACAGCATTGCTGGGTAGAGTATTCTTGGTTGTGGTAAGTTTTCCCTTTTCATACCTTTTAAGTATATTATGCCACTCCCTTCTGGCCTGTGGAGTTTCTGCTGAAAAGTTAGCTGATAGCTTATAGGACTTCCTTTTATGTCACTGTTTTTCTCTTGCTGCTTTTAACACATTATTGACCAGAGACATATTACAGCCCCAGGTGTTAGTTTCTACAAAAATCCTCCAGTCAGTCAGGGGTTAATATTCTCTTTAGTTTCTACCATTTTGACTACAATGTGTCTTGGTGTGTTTCTCTTTGGGTTAATCCTGTAGGGACTCTGCACTTCTTAGATTGGTTGGTTGTTTCATTTCCTAGGTTGGGGAAGTTTCCAGCTTTTATGCCTTTGAGTATGTTCTCAGCTCTCTTTTCTCCTTCTTGGACCTCTATAATGTGAACATCAATGCACCTGATGTTGCCACAGAGGTCTCTTTGTCTTCATTATTTTCTGTTCAGCTTCAGTGATTTCCACGTCTTCATCTTCCAGCTCATTGATCCATTCCTCTGTAGCATTAACTCTACTGTTGATTTCCTCTAGTATATTTTTCAACTCTTGGCTTACGGCATCCCAGCAGTGGGGCATGCAGGCTGTTGAACCAGGGCCAGGCTAGAGGGAGGGCTCCACGATGGCACTTGCCAGCACCAGTGTCCACGTGGTAGAACGAGCTCCCAAGACTGGCTGCCAGCAGTGTCTATGCCCTTAGTGTGAGCTGCAGTTGCCTCCTGACTCTCCAGGAAACTTTAAGAGGCAGGTAGGTCTGACCCAGGATCCTATCAAATTACTGCTCCTGCCCTGCAACCCAGAACATGTGAGGTTTTGTGTGCACCCTTTGAGAGTGGAGTGTCTATCTCCCCCAGCCCTCTGGCACTCCTGAAAGTAAGCCCTGCTGGCTTTTCAAAGCCAAATGCTCTGGGGGCTCATCTTGCCAGTGCATGACCTTTGGGCTGGGGAGCCTGACTTGGGGCTTGGAACCCTCTTTGGGAGAACCTCTGCAATGATAATTCTCCTGTATGTGGGTCCCCAACCTGGGGGTATGGGACTTGGCTATATTGCAACTGTGCCCCTCCTACCCATCTGGTTGTGATTTCTTCTTAATATCTTTTGTTGTGGAGGATCTTTTTGGTCAGTTCTGATCCTTCCAAAGCATAAACTTTGGAAGCTAAGTAGAACAAGTCAACTGTTAAAAGATATTTATGAGGGAATCACAAATAGGAACACTGACTGGATATTAGTATGAAAGAATTATTGCTGAACTTTTTAAAGTGTGATAATGGCATTATTTTATCTCTTGGAGGTACACAGAAAAATCTTTACAGATGAAATAAGATATCAGAAATTGCCTTAAAATAATCCAGCGATATAAGTATGTGTGAAAAAGTGAGGGTGGGGTAAGAGATGATGCAACACCATCCATGAGTTGATAATTTTTGAAGCTGATGGCAATGTAGTTCATTATACTATTTTCTCTACGTGTGTTTAAAATTTTCCACTGAGGGGGCAAAAAGCAGGTATGAAAAGTACCTTGCCAGAGCAGCAGCTCAGTAAATGACTGTTTTTGTAATCTAACAATGAGATCAGTGTGCTTTAGAGAGATTAAGTCACTTACCAAAAGTTACACAGGTTTGGCAAACACCACAGTCTGTTTCTCAGAGTCCTATGTGTAGGCAGCCCTTTTGGCAGCTGCGATAATCATAAAAGCCATAAAAATCATAAAATCATAAAATTCAACTCACTGAAATTGAAATTTTATTCCAAAGACTATATGGGTAGAAAGACAACAGCCAAAACTAAAAACAACTGGCTTAACTGGAAATTAGAAGTAGTTGATTGGCAGGAGAGCAAACAGTGGGCGACGGCCTTGGCACTCTAATAACTGTTATAACCAAGAAAGCATAAAAAAACAAATGTGCTGATACAGAACGTGGCTGTGCAGGATTTACAGCAAATAATAGGAAGAAAGGAAGACAGAAAGAAAAGGAAAAAAATCTACAAAACCTCCAAACCAAGAAATTAACAATTAAGAACATAGTGGGTAAATACTTTTGGTAGCAAAATTTTCACAGTTCTTAAAATGGGAGTCTCCAAAAGTACTTAAGTTTAAAAACTAAAAAAACTTAAGAGGAAATAGTTACACTGGCTTAGAAGAGCTGCCGCCTGTCACGAAGATGACCATCAGTCCTAGTTCCAAACACAGTGATAACCGGTGAACCTGACCAACCGAAGAGAGGCCGACTGGCGGGCACTGACGTCGCTGATTGTACAAACACGCTGGGCCATTCGTCACTAACAGCTACTGCTCCTCCTGACTGATGCCAAGGCTGCCTTTCTGCACCTCCAGTTCCTCGGCACTGACCATCGACGGGTCAATAGCTGCGTATTTGGTTCCGTGGAATTGAAGCAAATGTATCTGCAGAAATGCAGAATGATTATTTTAGACATCACTGTCATATATTAATAATTTCTACTTCTAAAATTACAGAGTACTCAGGGGAAGGGCAAGATTGGGGTGAGGGCTTAAAAGGTAAAAACTACCACGTATAAAATAAGCCACAAGGAGATACTGTACATCACAGGGTATATAGTGAATATCTTACAATAACTTTAAATGGAATATAATCTGTAATCTAAAAATGTTGAGTCACTACATAGAACACGTGAAACTAACATTATAAACCAACTATGTATGTGTTAGTCACTCAGTTGTGTCTGACTCTTTTCGACTCTGTGGACGATAGCCTGCCAGGCTCTTCTGTCCATGCAATTCTCCAGGGAATAATACCGGAGTGGGTTACTATTCCCTTTTCCAGGGAATTATCCCGACCCAGGGATCGAACGTGGGTCTCCTGCATTGCAGGCAGATGCTTTACCATCTGAGCCACCAGGGAAGCCCAAAAAACCAATTATACCTCAATAAAAATAAATATATAAACACTAAAAAATTAGAGTAATACATACTAACTAGAGGAAAATTAGGAAACAAAAATGTCAAAAACCATTATGTAACCAGTCTTTCTGGGCAGCTACATATTCTCACTAACATTTTAAATTGCGGCATGCTGCTTCTCAAGCAGGTGTTCACCCTTCTCTGCTGCTGTGAATCAGGTCCTTCCCATCCTCTGCTGTTCTAATATCCTAATGACTGTCTCTTGGAATCAGGTTGTTTTGTATTTACAATCCTCTCCTTAGGATCTGTAGCCACATGTGGATGACAGGATCAGAGAACATGACTGTTTTTTTTTTTTTTGTGGATGCCACATAGAATTTATTACAAGATTGAATATATGATAGAAGTGACTTAGCACAGATTTATCAGTTAAAAATAATTTCTCAGAATTTTAACAGCATGGTTCTATTATTTCAGTTTTTCTTTCATTCTTTTTCCTTCCTTACAGGTATTTCAAATTCAGTAGGTCCACAGCCAAAATCAAATGCCACCAGAAAATCCTGTTACCTCCAACTTTTAAATCTATCCTGAATCAAATTTTTTACTGCACCCAATTCTCTAGTCTGAATTACCAACATTCCTCTCCTGAACCTGTAATTAATTGGTCTTCATGCTTCTATGTATTTTAAAATTGTAAAATACTTTAAACTATCTGTGCCTTTATACTTTTTACTATATAAAGAAGTATGAAATTGTACATAATCATAAACATGGAATTTGCTGGTCCTGAGCATGTCATACTTTGGCCACCTGATTCGAAGAACTGACTCATTGGAAAAGACCCTGATGCTGGGAAAGATTGAAGGCGGGAGGAGAAGGGGACAACAGAGGCTGAGATGGTTGGATAGCATCACTGACTCAATGGACATGAGTGTGAGTAAAGCATGACTGGTTTTTTAAGGCTCTGGATACTATTTGCCAAATTACAATGCAGCCATTTCTCACCACTATTCTAATATCAGTTTAGGTAGGTATTTGAAGAGGTGGTATATGTTAGACTGTGTGTGTGTTTTAATGCATTAAAATTAGACCAAGAAGTCACTTCATGGGACTCAGATTGACTCCATTTTAAGTCTGGTGTCCTGCTCTGATTGAATTCCTTCCATCTGGGAGCCAAGGTTCCATGGTACCAAATGGCTACTTAAGTGTGTGAGTTCAGGCCTGTGGTTCGCAGAAAAGGGAGAGTGGGCAGATAGTCACCCAGGTGTCTCTACTATGCTTGAATTCTATAACTTATTCATGGAGACCACCTTTATCAAGTTAAGTGTTTCATTCCTACAGAGAAATCTGTAGTTCTCTCTCTCCACCACCACCAAAAAGCTTTATGTTTCAAACCACAGACTCTGGATTCAAAGTGCTCTGGGTTCCAACCTAGGGCCTACCTGTACATAGAGGTTCACCTCTGCACTTCTGCACAGGTATGGGAAATTGCCTCCTGTTTTAAGGTGAGCCCTCCGGGCATTAGGATACAGTTTGTACATTTCTTCTTTAGCTTCAGTTGAAAGTGCACTCTGGTCAAACACCTTTAAAAGAACATGAGGACAAAACTGTTATTTCAATGTTTCTTTTCACCTTAAGCAAAGAGTCCCCCCAAGCACTCCTTTCAGGAGATGTGGCTGAACCTTTCTGAAGCCTGGGCCACCCCCTTCTGCTCATTCCTAGTGACTCTAACTCCAAAGTAAAAAACACAGATTTTACTGCTAAATGTCTTTTGCATTGTTTAGGGGAAAAAAATTCTACCATGAATTTCATTTGTTCTCAAAGATAGTTAATTAAATTAACAGAACATTAATAGCAAACAATCATTGAAAATACCAATTTCAAAAAGATCATGAAACCCCAAAAGAACTTAGTATTAATTTAAAAACAGTTATATGTATGATATGCTCCGTGAAAATAATTATCTAAAAAATTAAGAATATTAGATAAAAAGTCCAGACCCTTTCCTGGGGGAGCCACCGTTGGAAGTTTGCAATATGTGATTCAAGAATCTTATAATACTCATACAAATTTATGTTCAAACTCGTGCATAAATTATTCGAATCATATAAAAGAAACAAAAAACATGAAAATAAAGATAGGTGCATCTCCACCTTGCTAAAACTTGTAGACATTTTAAAGTGACCATGAACTTAAGTGGTGAACATAACTTTGAAAGTGCAGGCAGAGCAAATGTACTGTGAAGACCATATATTTCTTTGAGAGTACTGACAAGCTTACTCTGTCATGGTAACTGTTGGAAAGTAGCAATTATAGTAGAAAATGGTAAGTTATTGTACATGTTCATAATAATTTCCTGATAAAAATCAGTTCTTAATTTAAATACCATATTACTTGCATTTAGGAGTAAATCTATTGTGAGACAGAATAGCTATATGATTAAAAGAAAAAGTCAAAGCCACAGTGAGATACCACTTCACATCCATTAGGGTGGCCACTATTAAAAAAAAAAAACAAAACCAGAAAATAACAAGGATATTGGTGAGGATATGGAGAAATTGGAGATCTAATGCACTGCTAATGGGAATGTAAAATGGTATGGCCCCTGTGGAAGATGATAAGGCAGTTCCTCTAGGAGTTAAACAGAATTATCAAATGATTCAGCAATTCCACTTCTAGGTATGCACCACCCAAAAGAACTGAAAATAGGACCCTGAATGTGTATTTGCACACCAATATTTACAGCATCATTATTCACAATAGCCAAAAGGTGGAAACAACTCAAATGTCTATCAACAGATGAAAGGATAAACAAACTGTGGTATATACATACAATGCAATATTATCCAACTGGAAAAGGGAATTATTTTTTTTAATTTTATTTTTAATTGGAGAATAACTGGATACTATTAACATATGCTTTAACATGGATAAGCTTGGAAATATGCTAAGTAAAACAAGCGAGATACAAAAGGATATTTATATGATTCCACTTACACGAAGTACCAAGAACAGGTAAATTCACAGAGACAAAAAGTAGGACAAAGGTTACTAGGGTCTCTAGGGGGAGCGGTGAATGAAGAGTTATTATTTAACGGGTACTGAGTTTCAGTTTGGGATGATGGAAAGTTCTGGAGATGGGTAACAGTGGCAGTTGGACCACACTATAAATATACTTAATGCTACTGAACTGTACACTTAAAAATGGTTTAAAAGGTGAATTTTGTTATGTATATTTTACTACAATTAAAAAACATGTAAGAAGCAAGCTTTTGTGTTAACTAGACTTTATGGAATTCTGGCACCTTCCTTTTGCTGCCCAGATTAGTAACAGCTTTAAAAGAATAGCAAAGCAAACCAAAATGGGTAAGGACTACCATGTTTATTTAAATTCATCTTTATTTCAATGGTGTTATTCCTTCCAGGAAAAATACAGGATAAGCAATAAAAGATTTTTTTTTGAAATTGAGAAAGCTGTGTGGTGGGCAGGTGGTAAAAACAAATTCAAGGCAGTGTTTGAAGCAACACTGAAAAATCGTACAATGATTTGTAAGGTGGATCTTGACATATACATATAAAAAAGGTAAAGCATCTGTTTTACTGAAAAAAAACTTACATCCATAATGGTTACAGGGATGTCCCGAATTTTATGAGGTTCCACATAAGAATTTTGACAATTCAGGGTAAGTCTTGAAGCCAGTTCACTCTGACCCAAACTTTCCAGCTGCAGGAAAAAACACAGGTAAAGTTTTTTCAAAGTTTTGTTTTTCACATTTACATTAGATCCACAGATAATATCCTATTTATAAAGGTGGTATTATGTGTGGTGAGGCCAGTAAGTTAACCACTGGGGAGACACAATGTATTTGAGACCATAACTGGGCCCTGGAAGTGGTGATGTTTTTCTGTTCTGGGCACCTGACCTTCCACAACCCTCAACCAGAGCTGCCTCTTCAACCAGGCGCAAGCCCATTGGGCAGCAAGCCCATTCCAGAAGCTCAGTGAAGATAGAAAGACATTTCAGTGATCTTAGAGCTGGAAGAGGCCTCAGAAGAAATCATCTATCCAGTAGTTCCTACATGCACATCTACAAACCCGCTCCATCACACTGGCCTGGGAAGGTAGAAATGAAGGAGGGAGGTAAAAACAGATTCCCAGAGCCCTCGGCCAGGCATTCCAGTTCAAGGTCTCGTGTGAAGCCTTAGAATCTGTATTTTTTAAATTTCCCCAAATGATTCTGATAAACTACTCAGCAGCTGTAATACCCGTTTGGATGTATTAAAGTTAATATGGAAAAGTGGTTAACAAACACCTCTAACACACACTGAGTGAGACAGGTATTTCTCAGGAACCAAGGAGACATGAAAATTCCCAGGACAAGGTGTCCCCTCCCCACGGTCATGATCCTTACCCTGTCTACCATGAAATCGATGGCATCAGCCATCATAGGGTCCACTGGGCCAGAGGAAAAGTTCCCAAGAACTATTTTTTTAAGCATAAATGATGGCATCAACCAAAAGCTGTAAAGAAGAAACAAAAAAACCTGATCATTTAAACTTACAAGACTATACATGAGTGGCAAGTATTCATTCAATATGAAGCTCTGTATTAGCTAGGCATTTGGAATTTAGAGATTTAAAAAACCTAGTTGCTTCCTTCAAAGAGCTAGTTTTGAAGCATCTAGTTTTTATAAATGCATTCTCAAGTTCCCAAAGAGTTATGGTTTCATATGATCAAACTTTTGAGGATGTGAAATAATTATAAGTAATATTTCAAAATGCCTTTACTGAGATAGACATTCTGATAATTTCAAGATTTTATTTTCTAGTTGGTCTTATTTTCAATGGCTAAGCTACTTGTGGAGAACTGAACACTTACCATATCAACCTTAAGGTTTATATCACCTTTTGATTAACATTAAAGGATAGATTTCAAAACAGTAAAATCACAGAGTTATTATACCTACTATAGCTACTAGTGGATTCTTGGGCTAATTCAAGGCAATTCAATCTTCATGTACTTCTATATGTGATCTTTAGTTAGGGTTTACTCCATTAATTACATTGGGAGCCCTTATATAGGGTCAAAATGAATTCTTTTAAACCTATGCTGAAAATGACTTATAAAAGGTACAGACCACCTTCTGATGTACATTCTCAGTAAACTCCCCTCACAAGGACCAGTTGGCCTACTTTCAGTCACCTTCAGTGATCTAAGTCCTCTACTCTAACCCATCCCAACAGCTTCTTAACTTCTAAAGGGGATGCTGCCTGGGTGTTTTCTGTGTCTGCGTGGTGGGGTGGGGGGTCATCCTCTTGGCTCTGTTCACCCCTGAAGCCTCTGTGTGCCTCATAGTAAGTACTCAGACATTTGATAAAAAATTCCTGATATGCAAGAGCACCAAGTGGGGGAAGTCTTGGCTTCTGACAATCAAAACAACATGAAAAAATCATCAAAAAAGAGTGACTTTTTGTGCATCATCTGGACATGAACTATCTGTCTAATGCATACAAGAAATTGATACACAAATGCTGAGTAAACAAGTGAGAAAACATCAGGAAACATTTTTTAAAGAATCAGAATGCAATAGTAAATAGTTGTGAAAACCATGAAAACAATGTTTACCTAGAACATTTTATGAAAACCAATCTGATCACTCAGGTAAGTTAAGTCAATAGGCTGCTTTTGGGGGGTAGAGTCTAGCCTTGCTAGCAATGAAAGAAATATGGTGAAGTCAGCTTTAAGGTACCATTAGACATCTATAAAACTAATTCAAATGATAAAATCAATGAAGGGATGGCTCAGAGATAGCAGGTACCCCCATTGGTTGCCCTGCAAAGCATTCTGCCCTTTCCATCTTTCTAAAAAGCAGACTAATGTTGTGAAAGTGCCAGGCGAACTAATGAGTCTCTCCATTTCGGGGAACCTATCTCAAGGAAATAACCCAGAAAGAGAGGAACAAAAGTAATTTACACACAAAGATTTACAGTAGAACCTGGTGAAAAATTGAGAGAAGCCGAAGGCCTTAAAAAAACTGTAACAGTCATTACACAGAACTCTGTACACAAAATACTAAGTGGAGCAAGCAAAACAGTATCAGTGAGATATGTGCTGAAGGGAAACTGTAAAGGCATACGAACTATATTAAACAAAGCCAGATGATGATTTAGAGTAACAGGAACCACTGAAGTTAGAATTCTTCCAATTCTTTTCCTTTGCAAGGGTGACTGTTTCTAATGCTAAAAGCCAGGATGGTTTCAGAAGACAAAAATATATATGGCCCCTCCCTCCATAATGCTTCAAAAAACCAAACATCAACATTTTCAATTCCACTGAAAATAACAAAACTGTTGGTCGAATGTTCACATTCTTACCTGTTTGCAGTCCATGTTTGGTTAAAGATAGAGGTGTCACTGAAGGAATTGCAGAGGATGAGGGAATGGACTCTGGGAGATTTGTGAGTGTATTCAGCAAACTTCTGGGCCAAAAAGCCTCCCAAAGAAGCCCCAAAGAGATGAACCTAATTGGAAACAAACACAAGGATCCTAAAAACAATGACTGATCATGAAGTATCAAAAAATTGTTTTAATTATCACCAACCACAGAATATAATGTTATCACCAGTCATTAGACTGAAATATTTTCAGCAGTTAGAAGTTTAGGAAATACTGTATTTAAATGCAATGTCTATACCTTGTCAAGAAAAAATACAATGGTGCATATGTTATATTAGTTAAAAAAATATTACTCACAGATTATATTAGAAAATTAAACTACTTTGCAGTTTCTGTTTAAGAAAACTGAAATTTTAATTTCGTACTTCTGTATTTCCACTCCTACACATGTACTCAAGAGAACTGAAAACATCTGTCTACACAAAAGTTTGTGTAAGAATGTTTATAGCAACATCACTCATAATAACTAACCAATGGAAATAAATCAAGTGATGAATGGGTAAATAAAATGTGTTTTATCCATACAACGGGATTTTATTTAACAATTAAAAGGAATGAATTAAAAAAAAAAAAAAGGAATGAATTACTGATAGACTCTGCAACATTGATGAACCTTCAAAATCTTGTGCCAAGTGAAAAAAGCCAGTCACAAAAGACCACAAATTACATCTTTATATTTATATAAAATATCCATAACAGGCAAATCCACAGACAGGGTTCCAGGGAGGAAGAAGGGTGGTGACTGCTAAGTATAGGGTTTCTTTGTGGGGTGGAAAAAATGTTCAAAAATTGACTGTTGTGATGGTTGCACATATCTCTGAATATATTAAAAAACCAGTGAATTATACACTTTAAAAGGGTAAACTGTATGGTATGTGAATTCTAGCTCAAAAGAGCTGTTATTAAAAAATAAAAGACAACACCAGACAATGATGTAAATGTTGCATTAAAATCACATGTGAGTAACTAGTTTCAAGGTACTCACTTTATCCAATTGTAAATGGTCTAAAAGTTTTCTGAATCCATCACAGAATTCAAGATGGTCCCAATAAACTGGATACTGCAACTAAAATATAACAATTTTAAAATTTATTTTAAAAACTGTAATGGTAAAACACAACTCATATGTATCTGAAAAATTTAGGGCTCTCACAACAGTATTTCTCATTTGCTCAATCCCTGGTCCTTTTTCAAAACATGGGAAAGTAAGCTCTCATCTTATCCTAGACTTCAAAATTCCAATTTTATCTAACAGAACAATTAAAAAATAAAAATAAAAATCACACTCTAGTGATACTACATATACAACAATTTCAATTCACACCAATTTCCTTTCCAAATAGCTAAGAAACTCTGAGGTTCAAGGGTGAACAGAGCAGAAACTATTCAAATAAGAAAATTTTGTTTTCCCTTTAAACAAATTTCATTCTGAATTATGGCTCAGAACTAGAAATCCTTCTAAGGAGAGTTTCCTCTCTTTTTGGTAGCACTTCTTTAAGGGAGTATTCAATAAAATTGTTCCTCTACTTTTATTGACTCAGTCATTCTATCTGACTTCTTGTAGTACTTTTGTTTGTGACCAAACATTTCAGGTGCTTGACCCTGCTGCTGCTGCTAAGTCACTTCAGTCGTGTCTGACTCTGTGTGACCCCATAGACGGCAGCCCACCAGGCTCCCCTGTCCCTGGGATTCTCCAGGCAAGGACACTGGAGTGGGTTGCCATTTCCTTCTCCAAAGTGTGAAAGTGAAAAGTGAAAGTGAAGCCGCTCAGTCGTGTCCGACTCTTAGTGACCCCATGGACTGCAGCCTACCAGGCTCCTCCATCCATGGGATTTTCCAGGCAAGAGTGCTGGAGTGGGGTGCCATTGCCTTCTCCGCTGCTTGACCCTAGGTAACCCATTAACACTGACAATAATGAAGAAAAAGAAACATAAGTCACTAACTCCTTTCTAGGGGACTCAGGCTTGTCACCTAAGAGTGCCCTTAAATACATGTAAGACTCATCTTAAAGGCTTGCTATTTTAATCACTTAGATTCATTTCGCTAATGACAAATCATTGGGATAGAAAACACCATGTAAATTATGGGATAATTTCAGATATGATGCAAAATGTTAGTTTTACTATTAAAATTCCATTCATGGATACGATTCCACTTTTCTGAGGAAGGATGGAGAACAAACTCTTCCTAGCAAAAATGTGAGAATTTGAGTCAGCCTAAAAGAAAGGAGACGACATTTTTATGAATCCTTTAATTTAAAAATGTCTGTGCCCTAAGGAGTGTCCCAGAGCCGAGGTGCTGAGTGTGGTGGTTTCACTCTAGGAACTCTGGCCTAAAGTGCCAGGTGGAAGGCCTCTGCATCTGGCACTCATAGCAGAGAGACTATAAGCTCAAAGGGGGAAAAAAGCTGGAGACAAGATGGTGGAGTAGAAGGACTTGAGCTTACCCTCCGCTCATGAAAACATCAAAATCACAACTAATTGCTGAACAACCATAACAAAAAAGGCTTAAGCCTACCAAAAAAAAGCCTATCCCCAAAGAAAAAACCATAAAGAGGCACCTGAGGAACAGAGGCCACAAACACAGAAAATTAGACAAAATGATATGCAAAGAAATATGTTCCAAGATAAAACCCAAAAAGAACAAATGAAACGGAGATAGGCACTCTACCTGAAAAAGAATTCAGAGTAACGATGGTACTCCAGGCCCAAAGGGAGTGGCACAATATATTCAAAGTGATGAAAGGCAAAAACCTACGACCAAGAATACTCTACTCAGCAAGGTTCTTGTTCAGATTCAGTGAAGAAATCAAAAGCTTTATGGACAAGCAAAAGCTAAGAGAATTCAGCACCAAACGAGCCTTACAATGAATGCTAAAAGAACTTCTCTAGAAAAAAAGAAAGGCTACAACTAGAAACAAGAAAATTACAAATGAGAAAGCTCACTAGTAAAGGCAAACATACAGTAAAAGGTAGGAAATCATCCACAAATATATCAAACCCAGCAATCATGAGGAGTACAAAGGCAAGACATTAGAAATGCATTTGAAATTAAGAGACCAGCACTTAGAACAATCGTGTGTGTGTGTGTGTGTGTGTACATAAATATAGAGAGAGCACACTATATCAAAACCTCATGGTAACTGCAAACCAAAAATCTACAATAGATACACACAGAAAAGAAAACCTGATCCAAACAAAACACTTAAGATAGTCATCAAATCACAAGTGAAAGTATCTTAGTCACTTGGTCATGTCTGACTTTGTGACCTCATGGACTGTAACCCCAGACAATCTGTCTATGGAATTCTCCAGGCAAGAATACTGGAGTGGTTAGAAGAGAAAAAAAGAGGAAGAGGAAAAAATGACCTATAAAACCAAATCCAAAACAATTAACAAAATAGCATTAAGAACATACATATCAATAATTATCTTAAATGTAAATGGGTTAAATGCTCCAACCAAGAGACACAGACTAGCTGAATGGATTAAAAATAAAATCAGGGCTTGAAAAATAGACTTGAAAATAAAGACTGTTAAAAGAGGCAAAGGAGGACACTACATAATGATCAAGGGATTAATCTGAGAAGAAGATATAACAATTGTAAATAAATATGCACCCAACATAGCAGCACCTCAATATACAGGCAACTGCTTAAAGGAGAAATCAACAGGAACACGATAATAGTGGGGGACTTGAACACCCCACTTACATCAATGGACAGAACATCCAGGCAGAAAATCAATAAGGAAACACAAACCTTAAATGACACATTAGACCAAATGAACTTAATTGATATTTATAGAACATTCCATCCTAAGGCAGAATATACATTCCTCTCAAGTGCACATGGAACATCCTCCAGGACAGATTACATCCTGGGCCACAAAGTGAGCTTTGGTAAATTTAAGAAAATTGAAATCAGATCAAGCATCGTCTCTGATCACACCGCTATGAGATTAAAAGTCAACTACAAGGAAAAAAACTGTAAAACAAAGCAAAACAAACAAACAAGTGGAAGCTAAACAGTATGTTACTAAACAACCAATGGATCACTGAAGAAATCAAAGAGGAAACAAAAAATACCTAGAGACAAATGAAAATAAAAACACAATAACCCAAAACTGATGGGACACAGCAAAAGCAGTTCTGAGATGGAAGTTCATAGCAATACAATCTTACCTCAGGAAACAAGAAAAGTCTCAAGCAACCTAACCTTCCATCCAAAGCAACTAGAAAATGAAAAACAAAATCTAAAGTAAGTAGAAAGAAGGAAATCATACAGATCAGAGAAGAAATAAATGAAATAGAGACAGAAAACAATAGAAAAGGTCAATGAAATTAAAAGCTGTTTCTTTGAAAAGATAAACAAAATTGGTAAACCTCTAGCCAGACTAGGAGAAGGAAATGGCAACCCACTCCAGTGTTCTTGCCTGGAGAATCCCAGGGACGGGGGAGCCTGGTGGGCTGCTGTCTGTGGGGTTGCAGAGTTGGACACAACTGAAGCGACTTAGCAGCAGCAGCAGCAGCTAGCCAGACTCAAGAAAAAAGAGAGGGCTCAAATCAATAAAATTAGAAATGAAAAAGGAGAATTAAATGGACACAACAGAAATACTAAGGATAATAAGAAACTAATATAAGCAACTATATGCCAATAAAATGAACAATGTAGAAGGGGACAAATTCTTAGAAGGTACAATCTTCCAACACTGCACCATGAAAAAATAGAAAACATGAACAGACCTATTACAAGAGATTGAAACTATGATTTAGAAACTTCCAACGAACAGTAGTCCAGGATCAGATGGCTTCATAGGTGATTCTATCAAGCATTTAGAGAAGAGTTAACAGCTATCTTTTTAAATTATTCCAAAAAACTGCAGAGGAAGGAACACTCTCAAACTCATTCTATGAGGCCCCCATCACCCTGATACCAAAACCAGACAAAGATTTCACAAAATAAGAAAATTACAGGCCAATATCATGGATAAACAGAGATGCAAAAATCCTCAAAATACTACTGAATCCAACAATATAGTAAAAGATCATACACCATGATCAAGTGGGATTTATCTCAAGGGTTCAAGGATTTTTCTATATTCACAAATCAATCAGTGTGATACATCATATTAACAAATTAAAGAATAAAAACACACGATTATCTCAACAGATACAGAAAAAGCTCGTGACAAAACTCAATACCCATTTATGATAAAAACTCTCCAGAAAGTTGGCATAGAGGGAAATTACCTCAACATAATAAAGGCCATATATGACAAACCCACAGCTAACATCATACTCAATGGTGAAAAGCTAAAGGCATTTCCTCTAGGATCAGGAACAAGACAAGGATGTCCACTCTCACCACTTTTATTTAATATAGTTTTGTAAGTCCTAGCCACAGCAATTAGAAAAGGAAAAGAAATAAAAGGAATCCAAGCTGGAAAAGAAGTAAACTGTCACTGTTTGTAGATGACATGTTATTAGACATAGAAAATCCTAAAGATGCTACCATAAAACTACTAGAGCTCATCAACAAATTTGGTGAAGCTGCAGGATACAAAAATCTGTAAATTTTTTATTTCTGCAGATACAGAAATATGCTGAATTTCTATATATTAATAATGAAAGATCAGAAAGAAAAAAGGAAACAATCTCATTTACCATTGCATCAAAAAGAATAAAATATCTAGGAATAAACCTACCTAAGCAGGCAAATGACCTGTACTCTGAAAAGTATAAGATACTGCTGAAAGAAGCTGAAGATGACACAAACAAACAGAAAGACAGACTATGTTCTTGGATTGGAAGAATCAATATTGTCAAAATGACTATACTATCCAAGGAAATCTACAGATTCAATGAAATCCAATTAAATTACCAATGACATATTTCATAGAACTAGAACAGAATTTAAAAATTTGTATGGAAACACAAAAGATGCCAAATAGCCAACATAATTCTGAGAACGAAAAATGGAACTGGAAGAATCAGGCTCCCTGACTTCAGACTACACTACAAAGCTACAGTAATCAAAAACAGTATGGCACTGGCGCAAATTCAGAAATATAGATCAGTGGAACAGGATAGGAAGCCCAGAAATAAACCCAAATGCCTATGGTCAATTAATCTATGACAAAGGAGGCAAGAATGCAATGGAAATGCTGCTGAGAAGACTGGACAGCTACATGTAAAAGAATGAAATTAGAACATTCACTAGAATGTTCTAATGAAATCAGAACATCCTCTAACCATACACAAAAATAAACTCAAAATTTCCTAAACGAAGACTGGATAGTATAAAACTCTTCAAGAAACAAAAAATAAAACTCTTCAAGGAAAACAAAGGCAGAACACTCTTTAAGTTACAGCAATATCATTTTGGATCCACCACCTACAGTAATGAAAACAAAAATAAACAAATGGGACCTTAAAAGCTTTTGCATAGCAAAGGAACAATAAACAAAATCAAAAGACAACCCACAGAATGGGAGAAAACATTTGCAAATGAAACAACTGACAAGAGATTAATCTCCAAAATATACAAAACAGCTAACACAGTTCAACAGCAAAAAACAAAAATAAAAAAATGGACAGAAGATCTAAATAGACAGTTCTCCAAAGAAGACATACAGATGGCCAAAAAGCGCATGAAAAGATGCTCAACACTGCTAATTATTAGAGAAACGCAAATCAAAACTACCATGAGGTATAACCTCACATCAGTCAGAATGGCAATAATCAAAAAGTCTACAAACAAAAAATGCTGGAGAGGGTGTGGAGAGAAGGGAACCCTCCTACACTGCTGATGGGAATGTAAATTTGTACAATCATGGAGAATAGTATGGAGGTTCCTTAAAAAACTAAAAATAGAACTACTATTTGAATCAGCAATCTCACTCATAGGCATATATCTGGAGAAAATCATAATTCAAAAAGATACATGCACCCCAATGTTCACTGCAGCACTATTTACAATAGCCAAGACATGGAAGCAACCTAAATGTCCATTAACAGAGGGATGGATGAAGAAGATGTGGTACATGTATACAATGAAATATTACTTAGCCATAAAAAAGAATGAAATAATGCCATCTGCAGCATCATGGACCTAGAGATTATCATAGTAAGTGATTACATCAGGAAGAGAAAGATAAATATAATACAACATTACTTATATGTGGAATTTTAAAAAAGATATAAATGAACTTATTTACAAAGCAGAAACAGACTCACAGACTTTGAAAACAAACATCATTACCAAAGGGGAAAGGTTGGGGGAAGGATAAATTCGAAGTTTGGGATTAACATATACACATACATAGTAGTGTTGCTACATATAAAATAGATGTATTATAGCACAGGAGACTCTACTCAATATTCTGTAATAACCTATATGGGAAAAAATTCTGAAAAAGGAACAGATACATGTATAACTGAATCACTTTGCCATACACCTGAAACTAACACAACATTGTAAATCAACTATAATATAAAATAAAAATTTTAAATTGAAAAAATTTGTGTCCTAGACAGGTGATAAAATTGTATACAACTTAATATACACACAAACAATTGAGTATGAGTAAAACTGGAAATGTGAACAAGGCTGGTGGATTATATTAACATCAATATTGGCTGTGATATTCTACTATAGTTTTATAAAATGTTACTATTGGGAGAAACTGGGCAAAGTATATAAGGGGTATCTCTCTATTATTTCTTACAACTGCATGTGAATCTATAATTATTTCAATAAAAATGTAAATGAAAAAAGGAATCATGCATTTTTAACTGCTGCTGCTGCTGCTGCTAAGTCGCTTCAGTCATGTTCGACTCTGTCCGACCCCATAGACAGCAGCCCACCAGGCTCCACTGTCCCTGGGATTCTCCAGGCAAGAACACTGGAGTGGGTTGCCATTTCCTTCTCCAATGCATGAAAGTGAAAAGTGAAAGGGAAGTCGCTCAGTCGTGTCCCGACTCTCAGCGACCCCACGGACTGCAGCCTACCAGGCTCCTCCCTCCATGGGACTCTCCAGGCAAGAGTACTGGAGTGGGGTGCCATTGCCTTCTCCATTTTAACTGCTAGATACTAACAGATGTCTAGTAAAATTTCAGAAATCTCCTGGCATTTTGATCAAATCTCAAGGACGAAGTGATTTTGAAGACACTGCTGTCTTTTTCCTTGATTCTTTATCTAGCTAAGAAATAGGGAATGCCCACATCAGGAAGCTTGAGGGCAAGAAGAAATATCCAGGCAAAAGGCAAGGCTGTGTGCCCTGTCAGTTTAGAACAAAGACCATGCTGTCTGCTTTGAAGAACGTTCAAAGGTGAGACAGACAGCTGGGGGGCTGCCCAGTCTCCCTCTCCCTGGCTGACCAACAGCGATCACCTAGACAAGAAATTGTCACCACTTCGGCTGCAAAAGACTAGGATGAGGGCTGCTACCACCCTCCTCTCCTGGAATGCTGTCCACAGAGAGGGATTACTGAAAACCCAGAACAAGGGAGGATTACGTGGCAGGGCTTCCAACATACCATATGAGGAATGGTTAAAGAATCTGGAGAGATTTAGCTGCAGAAGACAAGACCTGGGGGGAAAGTCAGTAGGCGGCCGAAAGTAACTAGTTTTTTCAAGAAAGAGCAGGGTTATCAGGAGGAAGAGGAACTGCACTCATCTTGTGTGACCCCAGTTGGTGGCAGCCCCAGTGGAATTTTCAGTTTCCTTCTAAGAGAAGGGCCCTGGTCCACGTTGTCTCTCCTCTAGGCAGTAAATAAAATGTATACTAACAGCAGCACTCCCATGGGGAGTACCATTCACGTGTTAACATTCTAGGTCCCAGAAAACAACTGCCAGCTCCAAAGGCCAGGGCCTCTGCTTCGGGGAAGTTAGGAAACCGAAGTCCACCATCCTGACCTAGTCAAGACGTGCCAAACACTCTTTGGTGAGCAACGGCGCCTTCCCACCTATGCCCTCCTCCCAGAGAGGGAGATTAAAGAACGATCAATGCAAAACTAGATTTAGACCAAACTCAGTGATAACAATTAGAAACAAAAAACTTCTTAACCAAATGTGAAGGATATGAGCTAATTAATGAACCTCACCTCACCTGTCAAAGACTCACAGTAAAGCAAGCTTTCAGTCCCCTCTGCTGCTCCCAAGCAGTGATGGAATAAAAGTGGGGAGGAAATGGGGTCAGAAGACTGAGCTGGGTTCTCTCTCTGCTGCCTATTGGCTGTGTGACCCTCAGCCATCTCTAAAATGTCCAGACCGCAGCCTCCTTATCTATAAACAAGAACAATGCTTCCTACTGGTCAGACTTATTCAGGAAATGCACGTTCAAGCTGAGGGTAGAGAAAGCTTCAACAAAGGTTTGTCTCCTCTGCGCCTCCTTTTGTTTTCAAACCGCACCACCTTCCTTTAAAAAACTCCCTTTCACATTTTAAAAATGAAAAACAGCATTTTACAATAAGAAACACACCCATTACTATACTCAGAAACAGAAACACACACACACACACAATCAGAAAGTGTGGACCTGCATCGTTACCCTAGATCAATAATACTTACAGCTATAACCCGGTAACCCCATCCAGTCAAAGCCAAAATCTGCCGGAAAAATACATCCGCAGTTCCGCTGACGGGAGGGAGAAATATGAGCGGACACCTGATATTTCTGGGGCCTGCATCGTAGAGCGACCAGATCTTACTATCATCATCATCCACAATAATCTGGAGGGGAAAGTTATAAGAAGAAAATGAAAAATCTCATGGATTTGATTTTACATATTAATAGTTATTTCGACACTGTAATCTTGCTGACAATTTTAATACCACTGTCTTGGTGGTGTACACACTAACGTGGGGGTCACACCAGACCAGTGCATATAATAAACAGCTTTGTTTCCTTTTCCTTCTTCAGAACTGACATCGTCCATGGAACTGCTTTATACTTTTCCCGAGAGCTCCTTTTCCTCTCAGCTTGGAATTTTCCTCTCCAGTCATGATTATTTGAAGTTTATTTTGTTTACCATTCAACAGTAAACTCTGCACATGGCATCTTAATTCTTCCCCATATTTCTGGCTGTGTGTGTGCATGCACGTATGTAGGAGGAGGACAATTTGCAGTCATTCTCCAGTGCTGGCCCAGAGGGCTGGCTGGGATCAGCAGGGTTAGTATGTGAAAGGGGAGACGAGAGAAAGAAAAGACTCCAGGCTCTGGGGAGAAACCGCATAGAGATGGGACCACGCGTGGGATGCTTCAGGAGCCTGATCTAGCCCAAGCCTCTGGGACAGAGAGCTCTGCTAGAGAGGAGGGACGAGGCGGGTGTAGGTGTCACTGTCCCCGGAGAGCATTTCAAACCATCCAGTCAGGTGCGGGGAATGGGCTCAGGGAAAAACCGGATTTTTTGGGAAAAGGGGATGAGAAGGAGGAAGGTCATCAGAAACCTTCCTCATTTAGTGGCTTTTGACCCAGTAAGGGGAAAAGATGAGCATTACATGAGCTGAGACAAATCAGGTGTTCAGCACAGAGTCTGGCAGATACCGAGTGTTCAATAGTGTCGAAAGTGTTATCTACAGTATGCACTGCATGATAGGTAATTTTCGTTCTCTTTGGCTGACTTTTTGGTGGTATTTGGAAAAGTACATTAACTGCTTGAACTTTTGCCAATGCAAATCAATACTTATCCTACTTTTACATTAAAAGGTTCAAGGTTCTATTTTTTTTCTTCTTTGGCCATGCCATGTGGCATGCTGGATCTTATTTTCCCGACCAGGGATCAAATCCATGCCCCCCTGATTTAGGAGCATGGAGTCTTAACCACAGGACCACCAGTGAAGGTTGCATCTTCTGAGAGCTCCAAGTTGGCAGTGCTGTGGGGCCTACGGTGTCAGTGTGGGTGGCAGCATGCTAACTGGAGTCACGTAGCAGACAAACACGGCAGGGCAAAGTCTAGAGGGCCCTATCCAATGCTTTCTGGACTTCCACAAGTGACAGTGTATCTCATGATTATGTTTTTGTCCTTTGGATTCTGCCACTCACATTTTTGCTTTTCATGTTTCTTTTTGCTGTGATTGTAGTAAAAAAAAATCTTAGTGACCTTTGATAGTGCATACAGTAGATTCCAACCTTCTAGTAATAAAACATGAGATATGATATTCAGATTTCTGAAATTAAAATCTAGCACTATGAAATTTCAAGCAAACTTTTCATCACTTTTGGACCAAATTGACCAAAGGAGAACACTACATCAATGGAACTACTTCCTACAACTACTTCCAAGTATATTTTGATAAGTGTGTGTTGCTTTGGGTCTAGTGATTAGCTTGCTGAGTGAGTTCATCAAGGGAGCCCCTGTGAATTACTTGAGGGGGTGGGACAAGGCAGAGGGGCTCCAGGGGCAATTCTTCTTCTAGTGCAGGCAGTAGTTCCCGGGGTAACAAGAAGAAAGGCAGGTTCCCTTTGCTAAGCTGCCAAGTAGCTCTGGCTTTGAAGCCAGACGATTTGATTTTAACCCAAACTCTACTAGACTATGTGACTTTACATGTTAACCTCCATGAACCTTGGTTTTCTCATCTGTAAAATGGGCACACCACTACCCACTTTGTTAAACTGTTTAAGTAATTAAGATATTTGAGGACTTCCTACAACAGTGGAAGGTATTCTGTTTATATGTGGAAACTGTACCTCAAATTTCTATAGGAAGAGTAACTCTGTTATTAATTCAAACTTGCATGCTACTTCCACAGCTATCTACCCTGACAAAATAACTTTAACAGAAACACAGATGATCTTCAGATCATAGTACTGTAATACTTCTGCAAGGGGATCAGCAAAGATTTTATTCTGACACAACTTTTATCAGTGTGATCCCCAAGCATTTGGGATTAAATTTGAGACTCACAGTCAACAGACTTCAACATAAGTGTTTAGGGTCTTTGAACAACCCAGGCAAATAAAGTTTCTAAAAGATGACTGTGGCAGAATGAGTACAGATTATGGCAAAGAGAGGATCTACAATGTAAATCTTCAATCTTAATGAACAGGAAAATGGTTTCTAATAGAATCTAACTGCACTTAACTGTACAGTTGCTGTTGCTTACGCTGTCCACCAAACTATATAGGGAAGTACTCGTATTCCTGCTTGCTTGAATATGTAAAAGCAACTGTAAAATAATAAGTACAGTTATTCTCGCTTTTACTCTTGAATGAGTCTCAAAAGTTGATTGTACTTGACAGGGAAGGGGTTGAACGTTATGTTCTGCAATCCAGTCGTGATATTTGGCAATAACCTTTACTCTCAAACACTACTGAGACATAATGTCTAAATCACACATGAAAAACAATACAAGATTTTGCAAATAAGAGGTGTAGTAAAACCATACATACCTTTTTAAGGGGGACTGTACTTCTAAACCAGTTATAATCAGGAGAGACTTTAATCTCTCCCATGGTTAGCTGAAATGGAGGTTAACCCTGAAATAAAAGCATGTGATGTTTCACGTCAAGAATTCATGTTTACATCAGAACTAAATGTAGAGTCTGGTCTGGTTCTACCAACAATACTTTAAAAGGTAAAACCGAGGAAATGGGCCATTTTACCTTGTCGGCATAGACTAAAACTACAGAAAACAATTGGTGAAATCCTATAATCATGGAGCAAGCAAGAAGTACCCTGAGAGAGAATTATTCCAACCCCCTTAGTTCCTCCAAAAGAGGAATCTGGTCTAGAAAATGTTAATGACTTACCCAAGATCCCATGGCTATTGCAAAACCAGGACCAGGCACAGGACAGTCTTTTCTGACACCTGACTGCCTGTCCTAGTTACATGACTCCAAATGCAGTAGAATAACCTGTCTTTCAACAAAACCTTAAGAATCTATGTTAATAAAGATGTTCCTGTCTGACAGAATTCTATGCAACAGTCTACACTAGAAAAAGGAGTTCATGTAAGCCTGCTTCCTCATAAATTCATAAATTTCCATAAATCTAACTCTAGGAGAAGACAGCTTCAGAAACACACATAGATTTTCATGCAAAATACAGGAAAAACTTGCTGTTCATATGGATGTGGTAAAAGTGATATAATGTACTCTGAAAGATCCATGATAAGGTACCAGAACATTCCTGAAGGCAACAAAATAAAACATGTGCCTTTAAAAAACAGGTGGTCTTCTACTGTGAGATTAGTGATTTCCAGCTTTTATAGTTCTATGACCTGGGAAAAGTTACTGACCCTCTGGGGACTTGTTTTCTCATCTAAGATTGTTTCACTACTCTCTCTCTAAAATGCAGAATAGTGCTTTGTACACAGCAGGCATTATCTGTTGACTAAATGAATGATTGCATCCTAAGCAGGCCGAACTAGTCGATCCTAGAATCCCTTTTAACCTGGGTACCTATGAGTGTTACATTGGCCGGGCATCCTCAACTTAAAGCTGCCCCTGTTTGCTTAAAAATCAATGTTGTGTCACAACAGGAACCTGAAAATTATAGTTCCTTGTTGCAGATTCTTATTGCCAAATGAAGAAATTCTACCTGTTGGTTTGGAAGGACTCAAATGCTCCTTTGCATCATGTCCTCTATTGCAGCACAAACCTGGATTTCCCTAGCAGGGCTAGGATGAGCCTGAGACCCTAGGACTTAAGTCTTAGGCTGACCGTGAACCAAGAACCTAGAAGGGCTTTTCTGGGCTGGCCTTAAGTCAACGACTCTTCCTCTCTGGCCCTCCACGTCTGCTCCCTCAAGACACAGGGCACTCAGCAATCTCAACTGTTGCCTCCAGCCTTGGGGGTTACTAAACTGAGCCCCAAGGAGGTGGTAAATGTAGACATCCAATATTAAACTAGGTTTACAACCCTGACACTGTAATAATTGGTCTTTTCTTTCAAGGCTGGGATGGTTCTTAGAAAAGTTTATTGAAATCTTCAGTGGTTCTAAAATACGAAGAAAATCATCAGCCAGTATTATATAATCAATGTGCATGGATGTAGTTCTTATTCATACTAAAATAAAGAAAATCATTCTTTGCATATCCATTTTCTCTTAACAAATATTAACATGTTAAAAAAACTGAAGCCATTTGAACTATAGCCTTTCTCTAAGCTGGTCACTGCTTTTAACTGAAAGCAACTGGCACATATAGTTAATTCTGGAAAATTTTCTACCTGGACAGACTTGAACTATTCCTATGTCATCTAACTATTGCCTCATCAAGACATTTTCTAGTATACCATTACTATAAACAATCACCATTCTACAGGAGGAAGTATCAAAAACATGCTTAGAAAAAAATCCCTACTCAACAGATCAGAACAAAACATCTACTCAAAACACCTTAGTTAACTAAAGTCAGAAATTTTGCTCTAGATTCACCAAACTTGGGATAAAATAAATGATTCATAGTTTGGAATCAGCTGCAACATACAAACCAAACTATCATACAAATATACACACACATTGTACACAGGCACACAGATTCACTGTCATTCACTTCTTCCCTCAGGAGTAAGTAGAAAGAGGTTCCTTACCACAGTCTTCAGTGTTAGCCACAACCACCCAATATTATAACATTTATTTTATAACTAATGTCACTGGTTGGAGAGATTCCACTGAATGGTGACTGAATTTTTATAGAAGCAAGTGACTTGAACATTTGTGCTAGTTTGGCAGTACATGAAAGGTAAGATAGATACCAAATGTTGCATATGACCAACTGACATTTAAGTGGGGGAAAAAACTGCTGCAAAGAGAAAGCAGCTGTGAGTGGTATGAAAAGGAATTTTGTTCTCCTAGCTCTCTTTCATCCACTACAAGGGAATACTTTTCCAAGTCACAAGGGGAACATTCTGCATATGGAAAAAAAAAAAAGGTTCACTGAGACTGTGACCCAACTGATCGGTATTAAATAAGAAAGAATGTGGACCAGGAGCTCAATGCTGATTTGATCTCCCACAATTCTTCCCCAAAACAAAAGCACCTGTTCATGCTGCTGGGAAATGGGTGGCAGGAATTTTCCCTTAATCTTGCTTAGGGAAACCCCCTTCTCAGAGAGTCTCTCTGGGAACACTCAGTCCTCTCTGGCCCTTGTGCTGCTCCAGGATAGAACTGCCAGTTTTGAGTGTGCACCAAGAATTATATGCACTTCTCCATCAAGGTTTCACCAGAACCAGCCACTTTACAGTCCACTTATCCCTCAGGATTTCAACAGACCCTGCCAATTCACAGCCAATGAAATCACCTTTACAAATGTTTAAGTCATCTAACCAGTTTAACTAGTCACAGGTTTTCTGATCCTTTTCCTCAATCATATATGATCTACATATGGACAATCTATGATTCTTACTGACACAAGCAATAGCGAAATAGAGAACCTAAGGGTTTCTGGATGATGCCACTGGCTTTTTAATGCAAGTCTCCATATCTCACCACACCAATACAGAGCTATTCTTTTCTTAGGTTTCCTGGGGGGAAGATTTATCCTTATCTTCAGAAACTTATTCTATTATTTTCTAAACCTCATGGGAGGAAAATCTGACTACTTGACATTTCGGCGGTCACATCTCATCTTGTACCCTGTCTTAGTATTAAAGCTTTAGGAAATTTGCACACAGCTATTCAATTACCCCTCAGTCTCTTGAAGCTCTCTGCCAAGACGAGCTGGAACATTGTAGGTGAAGACAAAGAAGCAACATAAATGCAGAACTTAGGACTCCTGAGGACAAGGAGAAGAGGAAAGTGAGACAGCTTAGCCCTGCCACTTTCCTCACACCTGGCCCGTGCTCAGCAATGACAAAGGCATTTATCACTTTCAGGCTGAGGTGCAATCTGCAAAATTACTAGTCTGATCAGAGTTCTTCAAAGTTTATAGGAAAAATGCATTCCTGGGCTGCAGCACTGTAGCCCTCAGATGGGATTACAGGAGTATGTCCAGGTCAAGTACCCGACCCCCGACCCCAGGCGAACCACACACACATCTCCACCTTCTTCCAGTCCCACTGGTGACAGCCACACAAAGGCAGGGTCACAGGCACACCGATCACCCCCATGAACTCAGACTCGCCCTTAGACACACACAGGGACGTGCAATCACGTGCACGGTCACATGAACCGACCCACTCAGGGCCACACTCACAAAGTCGCACCGACAGAGGCAGCCGTGCTCACTACAAACCACTCTCACCTGCGGCCACAAACACATCATACACCCACATCCCCCGCTTCCCAGGACCTCTCCCACCCCTCACCTGCCGTGGCCGCCCCCAGGTCCCTGTCCCTCCTCCCAAGGCAGCTCTTCCCTTCAGAAAGGGGGCCGGCCTCGGAGGCTGCTGGGGCCCGGGTCGGGGCTGGAGGCCTGAGCGCTCAGTATCCGTAAGCGCTGCGAGCCGTGGGGGCGCGCTGGAGGGCCGGCCTCCGAGGGGCGGGGCGCGCGGCCGAGCGAGACCCGACCGCCGCCCTCCCGCCTCCGGAATTGTTCGTGCAGCTGGCGCGAGCCGCGAGCTTCCGGGTTCGGAGGGGTGGGGCCACGTAGCGAGGAAGGGGTGGAGCTGCGTGACTTCGGCGGTCACCATGGCGACGGGGCGGGTTGGACCACAGGGTGAAGACTCCAGCGTTCTCCCTACATCCTGCCTGCTGCAGAGTTGGCATCCGCTCTGGCGGGGGCGGGGACGCGGGGAGGAGGCCTAGGGAGACTCAAGGGTCAGTTCTAGGTCACTCATGTGACGTGAGCACCGAGGGAAAGGTTATGGGACTGGAAGAAAGGGGCGCCTGACCCTTGGGACCTGCCTGCCTGCAGTTCGGGGCATAAAGCTTTGAGGGAACTCCTTTGGGTTACAGGCTTTGATGAACAGAGCTTTGTATACTCTCTTTTCTTGACAAGATTTTTTTTTTATTTTGGCACAGCCACAAATGCCCCCCATAATCCTCCACTGTAACACCTCCATCTCCCTTTCCAGATGTGTGCTGAGGTCTTGGGAATTTCCAGGAACAGATCCCGCTGACAGTCCAGCTCCTTCATCACTTTCCCTTAAAGGACTAGAGAATGTTCATATACTTATTAACATTATTAACACGGTTCAACAGTACGTGAACGGTGAAATTCCAGATGTTCAAGCTAGATTCAGAAAAGGCCAAGGAACCAGAGACCAAATTGCCAATATCTGCTGGATCATTGAAAAAGCGACCGTGTTCCAGGAAAACACCTCCTTCTGACTTATTGACTATGCCAAAGCCTTTGAATGTGTGGATCACAACAAACTGGAGAATTCTTAAAAGAGATGGGAATACTAAACCACCTTAGCTGCAGAAATCTTACCTACAGATTTCCTGAGAAATCTGTATGCAGGTCAAGAAGCAACAGAACTGGACGTGGAACAACAGACTGGTTCCAAATTAGGAAAGGAGTAGGTCAAGGCTGTATATTGTCACCCTGCTTATTTAACTTATATGCAGG